CACTAACAGAGCAGGATTTCACAAGAGTTTACGGTTTTAGGGTTTAGGGACCCTATGCCTATAAGCGCAAAGCCCTAAACCCTCATCAAACTGTTTCCCCTCAGTCAAACTGTAAACCCTAAACCCCCTGAACAGTGAAGTCCCAAAGCCTTGAAGAAACCCTAAACCCTAAACCCCTAAACTTTAATCCTAAACCCGAAAGCCTAGATCCTGACCCTCACCTTTGGACTGTGCTTGCAAGGAAGGTTACAGAAGCCGATTCGCTTGTTTAGGGTTTAGGGGTTTAGGGTTTAGGGGTTTAGGGTTTAGGGCCCAACTGAAAGCTAGCATCCTTCAACCTGCTCCGTAGACGGCTCGCCTGATATAGGGGCCTTTAAAAATTAGCATAGGGTGTCTTTAAAGGGGTCCTTTAAAGGGTTCTATAAGGGCTACTATAAGGGTTTAGGGTGTAGGGGCCTTATCAATTAGAATAGGGTCTTGCGGTTTCATATATACTATAATTCTAATAAGGACACCCCCCCCCCCCAACAATAGTGTTGGTAGTTTTTGGGGTATCATATACTATAATTCCAATAAGGAACCCCTCACAATAGTGTAGGTAGTATATTTTAAGCCCCTGTAGTAACGTTAAAAGACCCAGAACTCTGTGGACCTGGCAAGAGCGAAATGAGCAAATCTGATCGTAAGCAACACAGCCAAACACGAGTTTAAGGTTTAGGGGTTTGCTGTTTAGGGTTTAGGGTTTAGGGGTTTAGGGTTTTAGGGTTCAGAGTTCAGGGGTTTAGGGAGTTCAACAAGCTTCTGCTTTATCCCCCCCAGACTCTGCTGGAGATAAGCAGGAAGCCTCCAGTGACCACTGCCGCAAAGTTGCACAAACCTGCCACGTTTGTTCCTTTGGAGATTCGGGTTCAGGACTTTGTAAATTCTCAAACTCGGCCCGCTAGAATATCATAAGCAGCCCTCGGAAGCCATTCAGCCACAAACCCCAAACTCATAAACCTGTATCCTAACCCTACAAACTAAACCTATGAACCCCAAATCCCCGCCCTTATTCGGGCAGCTGCCTTACAACTACTAACAGGCGCTCCCATGCTGCGGCTCGCGCCTTGTGTTCAGCTGATGCATGCAAAAAACTGCTAAGGAGTGGGTAGGTTGAGGGTTTAGGGTTTAGGGGTGTGATCACCACAAGATAAGTAGGGTATTGTTCTGCGATGTGATGAGGCTGCTCGCCCGACAGCTCCTAAAACCCGCAAGGAGCTTTTGTAGAACCCTCAGCCATACGTACGAAATCCTTATCAAGCCCTTCCAAGACCCTTGAAGGAATACCAAAAGCATCGAAAAGCGCTGTCAGGACTTGCTCATGCTTGATCCCTAAACACGAGCCAGTTTTGGTACTTGGGGCCTTTTCCTGCTATACTCGCCCTCTCTCTCACGACCCGCCCCCGAATAAACCCTAAAACACAAACCCTAAACCCTAATTCTCTACATCCCAGCTACACCCTAAAACTCAAGGCAACACCTTTCAACTCTAAAACTTAAAACAATCTAGCAAGCCTCGTACTCATGATTTCTTTACGTTTGAGTTCTTCACACTGCCACTGTTGAGCGCGAAACCCTAAACCCCTTACCCTTTAAGCGCCCAGAAGCGTCCCAAAAACCCTCTATGGACTCGATATGGGGCCCTAATCAATCGCCAACAAAATTTTCTTGGAAGTATGGGAACCTCACTGGAATCATCTGCAACTCTAAACCCCTAAACTCTAGTAGGGCCCTTGTAGACCCCATAAAGAACCTTGAACAGCAGCTTATAACTCATTGCAGGAAGTTTTGTAGACCCCATACCGAACCTTTAAACGAAGCCGACTCGTAAACCCATCTACATCCTGAAACTGAAGTCCTAAACCCTAAAGCGCTAGAATCAGCCCTAAATGCTAAACCCTGTAGCTTACAAGTCGCCTGCTTGATGACTTGTTCGGACAGGCCCGCCTGCTTCGGATGTTGCTTCAAGGCTTCGCGGTTGCTTTAGGGTTTAAGGTTCAGCAGCTCTGGTCTGTGAAGTACTATAGTAAAGTTGTATATAACACCCATCCAGAGAATCCCATAGCCTTGAGAGAATCCATAGTTTCATTAAATCATATAGGTCGGCTCAACAGCTTCTTTCCATTTAACAATGACATCTTTTTTTACAGTTCTGATTATTATGACTGCTTTTAGAGTTCGGACTATCATTTTGCGGTTTGGGCTACTATGCATTATGTTCAGGTTCGGACAACTATTGTAGGATTCGGACTATCAGTCTACTGTTTTGGGGTTCGGCCTACTATTTTCGGGCTCGGACGAAAATTTTAGGGTTCAGACTCCTCATTCAGGGTTCGGACTATTATTCTAGAGTCCGGACTGCTATTTTGGGGTTCAGACTACTCTTTTCGGGTTGGGACCAAGACTATTCTTTTCTTGTTTCGTACAGTTAATTTGCGGTCTACTTTTCTTGATTATTCGTGGACAAGGGTCAAAACCCCGGAAAATTGTGGACAATGGCCTGAAATTCGTGGACAAGGGTCAACCACGAATTGCAGCAAGGTTTGAATTATAACGGGATAGAGAAGGTTTAGTGCTTGGGGTTTAGGGTTTTGTGGTTTAGGCTGCTTTTTTGTCAAGCTCAGTCCCACTCGATTCAGTCCCTAGATTAGGCTCCGTTCTTGTTTAGGGGTTAGGGTTCAGGGACTTCCTCTGAAGCCCCACCGCCCGATACCCCCCATAACTTCACCCTAAGAGCCCAGCTAATGTAGGAGCCTCAATAACTCGGAGAGGGCTTTGGCGTAGACTCTAGTATGTTATAGTAGGAACCCTGTATTGGTACGCAATTGCTCAGGGATCTGTGTTATCGCCATGTAGTCGGTTACTGGTCATGGGCCCTGTAAAGTCTGTATAAAGCCCAGGGAACAGCAAGCCGCTGCGCAAGTAACTAAAATCCCGGCGGAAAGCCGTAAAGCCCAACTAGAATCCCACGCCCCAGCTAGAAAACCCTCTGCCCTAAACCCTAAACCCTAAACCTCCTAAGCCCTAAACCCCAAATCCTAAACTCCTACATCCTAAACCCTCCTAAGCCCTACAGAACCCCTGAACTGGAAGAAAGTTGTGTAAGGTCCAGGGATGGAACTTGGGGCTTCAGTGCCTAGACTGCACCCTCATCAACCAGAAGGCTCGAATGAATTCGATGCAAACCAGGACTCAAGAAATCAGGCGAAAGTAGGGTTTATGCTTTAGGGCCTAGGATGTAAACGGTTCAAGGTTAGAGGCTCTGGGCTAAGACGTTGTTTAAGAGCCGGCGTCATGGACTAGAGTTCGAAAGCTCAGGTATGCAAAGGCAAGGAAGTAAGGCAAGGGTTTCGTCAAAGTTTCCGGACATCTGCATGTCGACAGCTTTTCAGGGAGGCGCACGAGATCTCATGATCTTTCACCTGGAGCAGTTTGCAAGACAATTGTGGCAGCAATGACAAGAGTCGGCAAGGCATATAGGACAGAACTTCGTATAACTGCTTCATTCAGCCCTATTGCCCTATTGATACAGACCCTGAACTCTCTACCTCTAAACCCTGAGCCCCCAAAAGCCCAAGCCGGAAGCCCTAAACCCAAATGCTACACCCTAAACCCTCCTCAGCCCCGAACCCTTAAATAAACCCCAAAGCCTCCAAGCCTAAACCCTGAACCCTCTTAGCCCAGTCCCGAAATCCCAAACCTAAGCATCCCCTTCCGTTCGCTCCCCTCTCCACCGCGCACCTCAGGTTGTGCCATGGCTACAAATCGCGCGCGGCTGGTATGTTCGATGCTATGTGATCTCTTGCTGCTATATTAATTCACTTGTCTGTTGCATGTATATGCTCTTACAGTTCACGTCAACATGAAAACAAGCGCGTTTGCATTTCATGCGCCCCTAGCCGTCCATGCCCTGCCAAAAAACACTCCTTATATAGAGCCCAAGAGTACTGGGATCCTTGCGCTGACACCCCTCAAGCGAGGTATCCATGTAAAAACCTAAGCAGAGGATCATCTACTCGTGGATGACTGGCCTTGCTAAAAAACTCCAAGCCCGCAGGCTGGTGCGGATTGGCGACGGCGATGTTGGGGCTTCGGATTTAAGGGCAAGGCATTCGGAGTTAGGGACTTAATGTAGGGGCATTAATAATTAGGGTTTCGGGGGTTCCTTGTTATCATTGTAGTATAATTGACCCAAAACCCCATTCTAACTATTAAGGCCTCTATAATGGGATTCAGGGTTTTGGCAAGCTTGGTGCATTCGGGTCTCAGGTTTTGGGGTTGGTGTCCCGACTCCCGGGTCGAACCGGACTTTGGTGGAACTTCCTCGGATCGCAGCTTCTGGACATGATGCAACAAATGGGGGTTTCCGAAAATTGGGGGTACCTTATTTGATCCTACTATTTAGGGTACTATATTAGGGTCCCCTATATTCTGAAACCCCCAAACGCTCCAAGGACCTTCGTGCATGGAAGATTTTTCACAGCAAAAAAATGTTAGGACTGACTATACAGGAATTTACCCTAACCCTAAACCCTAAACCTATCCCCTAACTACTCGTCAGTCAGGCCCCTATATTGCAGGATCGAAGGCCGACAGAAACGCTGAGCCTCAGATCCGGAATCCTTGGCCCAGACATCCCTCAACCCAAAGCCCTGAAAGCCTTAAGCCCTCAAACACTAAAGTCCTAAACCCTACTAAGCCCTACTAAACCCTGGTAAACCCCACTACACCCTAAACATTAAGCCCTAAAGCCCTTAAGACTCTCACACCCCTAAACCCCTAAACCCCTGAACCCCTAAACCCAAAACCCCAAAACCCCAAAACCCCTAAACCCTGAACCCAAAACCCTCAAACCCCAAACCCCCAAACAAATGCGCCGAGGTCTTAGGCCGGAGTTTGCCCAGGTCCGTGAGGATGCCTTTGCTTCAATGTAGGGTTTAGGGTTTAGGGGTTTATGGGTTTAGGGGTGCAGGGGTTTGGGAGTTTGGTTTGGGGGTTTAGGGTTTAGGGCTTTAGGGTTTAGGGTTTAAGGGTTTAGGGTTTAGGGGTTTAGGATTTGATGTAGGCTTTTTTTGTTAGCTTTCGGGTTTAGGGTTTAGGGATCGATTTCTTTGTCAGGGGGTTTGAGCTTAGAGTTCGGGGATTGGGGATTAAGTTATCTTTTGTAAGGTTTGGGGTTTGGTGTTTAGGGAATCGGGCTGGGTTTTGGGAGGCCTTCTCTAGCTGCTCTCATTGCCGGAAGGTTTAGGGTTGAGCGATTTAGGGCTTTAGGCTTTAGGGTTTCGGGATCCCTAAACCCTAAACCCCTATACCCTAAACACTTTCAGGGTTCAGGGTTTAGGGATTTGGGACTCGCATTCTCCCATCTACAATTCATATTAAATAACCATTAATGTTCTCCACCTGCGGTCCTCACGTAACTATGATTCTGCACCCTAAAGGCCTACTCTAATTAGAGGTCACTATAGGTTTGGGACGGGGCTTGCACATCAAAATTTCGCAAGTAATCATTGCAGCGCCCGGAAGAATTGCTATGCAACTGTAACTCCCTTGTAGTCCCTAGATCTATACTATACCATAACATACGACAAACCCCTACATATCTCTGGTGCCCACACCCCACACAATTTCGATGAGCCCTCAACCCGTAAACCCAAAGCCCCGAAACGCAGAACCCATGTGGGGGTTTCCGAAATAGGGGACCCAAATATAGTACCCTAAATAGTAAGGTATTTATTATAAGGATCCCCCAAATAAGGCACCCTGTATTTTCGGAAACTCCCACGTCTTCTGCGGGCCGGAATCCGAAACCTGAACATGACCAGCTTCTTTATCAGAGCCATGAGCCCTAAACCCTAAACCCCTAAACCCTACACCCCCGAACCCTAAACCCTAAAGACTTAAAGCTTTCATAGACCCTAAAGACTTAAAGCTTTCAGGGTTCTATGAAAGGTTAAGGGCTTATAGGGCTCCTGCAAGTTTAGGCACTAAAACCCCGAAGTTTTGAGACCTCACGAACCCAGAGCCAAAGAGACAGAGCAAATATTTACAGGTTTAGGTTTTTCTAAAGTGAGGGTTTAGGGTCTAGGGTTTAGGGTTTCCAGAATTCGGGTTTAGGAATTCAGCTGTTAATGCCACCGACAAAGCGAGACTTGTTTCTGACTGTCTTCCCCAGGTGCCTTTGAACTTCTTCTCGACGGTATCAAAGGCACCCATCGTCTGCGGAGGTTGAGGCCGAGTGTCGGGGTTTAGGGGCTGAGGGTTTTCGATCTTAGGCCTTAGGGCTTCGGGTTTCGGATTTCGAACAAAGCTTCTGAGCCTCCAGGCAAATCTTCCACAGCTTGGAGCCGGGCAGGCTTAGAGCTAAAACCTTGGCAGAGGGGGCCTCAGCAGTTATAAAAGTGTTTTGAGACATCTTCCAGTATGCATTAAAAAAGAGGGCACGTAACCCCAACCTTGAGCCATAATCTTGGAAATCCCGCAGGCTTAATCCAGGCTTCGGAATTGTGTTGCAATGGGCACTTGCAAATTCCAGAACCCTGCAGTGAACCCTAACCCCTAAAGTACGAGTATCGGGGTGTGCCTTCAGGAATTTCGAGTTACGGGCTTTAGGGTTGAGGGCGACCTGGGTTGCTTGATTCGTGCCGGAACCTTCATAATCCCTTATTTGAACCCTTGATGGGAAGGGGGTGGGCTTTTCTTCGTGCCGGAGAAAGGCTTTCAGAGGGTTCAGGACAGGGTTTCACCCTTATACAGGTTTTTGTGTGCATTCACCGACTTCTAGGTATAACTGTATAACCAGAATTCCAACTTCAATGTTCACTTCTCGGCGGTAGCATGCTCGCTAGCGAATATCAGCAATGCTGAGGGCGGGCGATGAAGCCGCGCTAATCGGATGCACTGCAATAAGGACATCATGAAAGTTGCGGCATGCATGCTCAGGTATTTGGATGCACCAGCACACAGACGTGCCACATGAACCTGAGGTCTAAACTCGAAGAGTACTTAGCGACCTACACAAACCCCTGCGTCCCCGACCTCTGATGTCCACATGCTAAAACCCGTAAAATCCCAACCCTGCATCCCTAAAGCAAGCCATAAAGCGACAGGGCCTGACAAACAACTGCAGTCGTCAACTCGGACATTATCTACGCCACGCCTTCCGCGTCACCTTAAGCTCTCTGGTGGCTGTGTTGCCGTGGCTCTGTCGCATCACCTGCACTAGCATAGGTACTGGGTTCCCCAGTAGCCCCTGAATGATCATGGTACCCTTTTTCCTACGATTTAGTGTCAAAAGGGGAACCCAACGGAATGAGTGAAAAAGCGTAGTATAGCGGAACCCAGGGCAAGCTGATCTCGAAATGTCAAGATGAACTTCGGCTCTAAGTCCTAAAGCCTAAACCCCCACGGCCCAAGCCCTAAACTCCTAAACCATAAAACTTCAATACCCTGAGCACTGTTAAGCCTTAAACCCGAAGCCCTTTAAAAAAAATAAATACGTAAAAGAACAAAGTCCTACAGCCCTGAACTCCATCTTTCTATCTTTGCTTCTTTCTTGCTGTCTTTCTTCCTATCGATCGCTCCATCCTCGAAGCTGACTTATTGAATCAATCGACTGAAGAACTGCAGATAGATATGCAGATGCAAGCAGACACATGCCTACATGGATAGACATATCTATATATGGGTAGTTGTCAAAATTATGGTCCCTTTTGGGGTACCCTAAATAATAGGTGCCGTATTATAATAAGGACCCAAAAATGGACCATAATTTTGACAACCACCCATATGTCCTTGCGACTCTGGATCCTGGTGGCTCTCTAGCTTTTGGGGCCTAGGATTTCCCCAGTAGATCTACGGTTTAAAGTTTAAGCTTCCGGATTTCCCTAGCAACTAAAATGAAGCATCTAATGAGCAGATATTTCCCCCCTGTCCCTTTCCCCCCCCCCCCGCCACACACACACACACACAGATACGTGCTGTAACCTGGATTGCTACTATCCTAAACCATGGTACCCCTAGTGCCGACCTTTGGACATAGATCCTTGACACCCTCACAGAAACTTTGACGAAGAACCCTTGTAGAAGCCCCAAGTTACTGGTGCCTGTGGACCCTTAGGGTTACGATCAATCTAAGGTAGAACCCATGGGCCCCTAGTATGGGCCCTTAACCCTGGGACCCTAATATAGCTACTATATACCCGAAAAAAATACTCTTCAGGGACGTTCAGCCTTAGAATCAAGATCCACGCCCAATACTTGAAGCCTGAGCTTAGAGCTGGGGTCGGCACCTGAATGACAAATAGAAGTCTACACTCTGCACAGAAATCCGGAAAGCCAGCATCGGCTTTATTAACAAAAAAACCTCAAGACCTATGGTGTTTTTTTTTAAAACCTAGACCCTGATCCTTTTGGACAGGAGCGCCCCGAGCTTTTTGGGATTAGGTTCTCGGGCTTGGGACTCGGGGTCTCCGGCAAAACCGAACCCGGAATGTCCCAGGGACTGTTTAGGGTTTAGGTGTTGGTGATATAAATCCCTGCATTACTTTCAGGACCCTGAACTGTGGCATATTCCTTACAATGGATAATGCAGGATTTATACAGTTAGCTCCGGAGAAAGCCCTAAACCCCAAAGCCCCTAAACCAACACCCTGAGACCCTAAACCAATATCCTAAACCATAAGCCCCTAAACCAAAATCCTAAACCCTAAGCCCCTAAACCCAAACCTAGATAGCCCTTGCCTTGGTACACTTCTCCCCAGACATAATGTCAGCATCGAAGGATGGGTTACCATCCGGGTGCACACGACCTCGCACGTACCTCGCGCTTTTCTGGGCCTTTGAAGACTTCAGGGCGCTGGGTGCTTTCGGGGTCCAGGGCTTACGGGTTATGGCTTTCAGTGCTTCGGGTTCTGCTCGACGGCTCAGTGTCAAGGGCATTGCTGGAGATCTGAGGCTCTATCATGTGCATGTTGAAGTATATACATAGCACTGAAAGCTCCTGATTCCACAAGAACCTTATGATCATCTCCTATACAAGCCCGAAAAACCGCTGAACCGAAAGGGCCTCGAACGTGAAGTGCGTGAAGGCTAAAAATATTTGCCATGGGTGGACCATTCGGGGTCACTTCGATTGCGGCTCCAGGCCTGGGCCGATTTTGATGAATCCGAAAAAAACCCAAACCCTCTTGACGGGTGCCTCTTTTGGAGTTTAGGGTTTCGGGTTTCCCTAAAAATCTCTCAAGGGCGCTGGAAGGGGGATAATTACTGTTACCCACAGTCAAGTCTACGCACATCGCTGAGGGGTTTGAGGTTAGTGACCAGCTCGTCAGGACACTTCGGGCTAAGGTAGGGGCCTTAATAATTACCTATACCATTTTGGGGGTTCCTATACTATTTTGGGGTTCCTTATTATAATGATAGCAGAATATACCCCAAAAGCCTATTCTAATGATTCAGGCCCCTACATCAACCGACTCCCCGATCCCCCAAGCGCACGCGCAGAACTCCACGAAGAGAACCTGGCCACCGTGGTTGGAATCGATCTTGCTGAACTGTTCCTGCGCCTGGTGCAGAACAGCGAAGGGGTTTTAGGGCTTAGTTTATAGCTGCCAGGGCAGGGATGAGGATTGAGGATTTAAGGATTTGGATGCAATCTGGCCCCTTAATAATCATTAGAAAGGGTATTGGGGGTTCCTTATTATAACTACAGTATCCTAGGAGCATTGCTCTTTGAGAGCATCGGGTAGGGCTTTAGGGTTTGAGACCAATGCGAGCTGCAATTAGGTTATTCAGGGTCTCGGTAGGGCTTAAAGAAGAGACAGAGGGCTTACTTAGGGCTGCTTACTTGAACCTAACTGGGCTGAGCTTGAGGTGAACACCGTCTTGTCCTCTCACCATGAGCCCTAAACCCTACTGGACCCTCAAGAAACTGCCTTCTATTTCCTTATTATGAGTTCCTTATATAAGTCCTTAGAAAAGTAAGTTCTTCAGGGTCCAGGAAAAGCTTAACCCCAAACAAGAACCTACAGTTCCAAACCATACTATGCCCATGCCCCAAACCTAAGCTTTCATAGCCTCTTACTAGATAATCAAGATCACAATCCCTACACCCGAATACAGGAGCGCGACCAATCGGAAGTTGGTTTGCGAGTACATTAGAGTATCATCACATCGGAACGGACAGGGTATATTTTTGTTATTTCTTCACCCAAGAAATTAAGTTTCTAGGCCCTGTCTGAATCTGAGAAACAAGTCCCAATAAATAGATCTCTACGGGTTAGGATTTGGAGTTTCACGTTCACGGTTTCGGCGCATACCCTGCCGCCTCAACCCTAAACCCTAAAAGCTTATTGAAAACCCTAAACCTTATACCCTAAACATCCCAAAACCCGAAACCTAAAACCCTAAACCCTACATACCCTAAACATTCCAGAACCCAAGACAAAACCCCAGCCCCCTCCAAACCCTTACCCCCAAAACCAACTCCTAAACCCCTGAACCCCTAAACCCCTAAACCCTCCTAAAAACCCTAAACCCCTAAACCCTAAACCCCTAAACCCTCCTAAACCCCAAAGCCCTTTACTGTCTGCGTCTGCCTCGGCAGGGCTCAGGTGGAGGCCTAGCTGGCTCATTCCGCGGATAAACCTCGGGCTGGGTTGGCTTAGGGCTTGGAGCCTAAGGTTTAAGGTTTAGGGTTTAATGTAGGGGCCTTGATAATTAGAATAGGATTTTGGGGGATATTCTACAATTATTATAACAAAGAACCCCCAAACTGATATAGGTAGTCATTAAGGCCCCTATAGCAAGCTAGTGGCTATCAAGGGTATTAGAGGGGTTGGAGGGTTGAACCTTGTGGCTTCAGGCTGAAGGGATAGGGTTGAGAAGCTCCGGTGGTATATGGGACTTTGCAAGCGTTAGTAGGCCTTCAGGATCAAGGTGTTCGGGTTAGGGGTTTGGGGCTTCGGGGTTTGGGGATTTCAGGTTAGAGCTTGCGGTTGAGGCCTTAAGGTTTTTCAGGTTGGGGGCGACTCTAAAGCTTGGCTCTTTCCGACTTGGGTATAGGGTAGAAATGGGTAGAGTGTAAACTGGCCGTGACTTCGGGTTGCATTCAGGCTAGAGCAGGCCTGAGTTTAGGGTGTCTCGGGCTTGGATTTGGGCTAAGGTTTAGGCTAATTGAGTTGGAGCTCTGTGCAAAGGTTGTGGGGCTTAGAGGTGCAGGGTAGGGCTGAGGAGGCGAAGGGGTTTAACATCCGATTCATGTCCAACCTCAACCATCCGCTAAGAAGCTATGACTCCCACTTTCTAGAGCCCGGTAGTCTGCGAGTCTGCAGTACGTGCACGGGAGTTCGCTTTTCGTTTCTTTGGAGCAAATACAGGCCGAAGCAGCAAGTTTCTTCATGGGTGGTGAATCACTCAGGAGTTTCGCAATAATCTAGATTGGCAAGCCTGCAGGTGTACTGCAGCCTGTCAGAAGTCTCAGTAGATTGATCATTGGAATTTACGGCTCAGAGGTTAAGTCAAAGTTCGGGTTACCTGCAGCGCGTACATAGCTCTTCCCAAGGCATTGGTGTAAAGGTCTAGGGGCTTAGTGGCTTGATGTGGGGCATGTACTCCGTTACAAGGCTTACATCAGACAGGCCACTCGTTCACGTCGATGCGGCGATCGTCACCGGAATCCACCACTTCAAAGATCTGTGGGCCAGTAGGTGTTTCAGGCTCGGGCTTGGGATGGCTTCGGATTCGTATGGGTTGGTGTTTTTCGGGTTCAAGGTGTAACGGTTTAAGGGTTTTGGGCTTGGGATCAGTCTTTACGCTAAGGCTCAGGGTTTATCCGGTTAGGGGTTTTAGGCTCGGGGCTTGCGGTTAGTGTTTAGGTTTAGCGTTCAGGGGAAGGGTTTACGGTAAGGGTTTTCGGGTTTGGGCTTGGGGTGGGTGTTTTCGGGGGTTTGCAAGCGTTAGGCAACCTTCTTCTGCACAGCGTGGTTCGTTGGTCCCACAGCAAGTGTTTAAGGGCTTGGCCCCTGAAACCCAAAACTTAAAACCCCTGAACCCTAACCCCATAAACCCAAAACCCTCAAATGCCTCGACGCTTAAACCCCTACACCCCTAAACCCTGAACCCTCAACCATAGCCCCCGGTTCCTCTTACTTCCCCAATAAGCCAGGGGAACAAAAGGTTACACTCTCTGACTACTACTCAATTATAAGAACCCAAAAAGTTTAAAGGTTAACTGTATGATTACTACTAAATAAGCGCCCAAAAAGTTTAAAGGTTGAGTATCGGGGAACTGGGTCCTTCCACAGGGTTCGAGAAGGGTTCTACAAGGGCTGCTATGAGGGCCAGTACACGAGGCCGCTTGGGCGGGGGGGATGTGCTGTAGCCGCTATAGTGTAGTTCTCACAATGAGGACTAAGGAATATTGTAACCATTTCAATATTCAGATTGCGATGCTAGGACGGCTCAGTTCATGTTGCTCCTCAAGGTCCTCAAGATACTGATATCCGGAGGGGACTGTTTGCAGGGCTTTATCATCCCGACAAGTCTTGCTGTTGGCGACATCGCTGTGGTTGCATGTGTATGTCGTAGATACCTTGCTCCTTTCTTTCTTTCAATCCCATTGCCTATATTTCATTCGCAAACCCTGAAGTGTTTCCACAGTGCTCGTGCAATGAGCAATGCGGTAGTGCCCATTGCACATGCAGCAACAGCCATGAAGCGATTCATCCCAAGTGGAGCCACCTTTGCCGTACGGAACGCCGTGCTGCTACTCCAGCAAATCCGCAAATCCTAAACCCGAAACCGAACAAAAGGAGCCTGAACTAAAACAGCTTCCGCTGCCTGCCAAAGCTTGTTGAACCAGAAAATGTTCAACAGCAGATTGTGAAACTCTCTCTTGGTGACCTCGCTGAACGCAAAGCTACAGCCCAGGTTCGAGTTCAGAGTTTAAAGCTTAGGGCTTTGGGCCTAGGGTTTTTCATATGTCAAGGGTTCAAGTCCGCGCATTCAGACAGCTGGTAAAGTAGTCGTCTCTGTGCCTCTTTCTTTAGATGTTTACTCGTTTATGACACTTTTTCTTGTTATACAATGTTGGGGCATGTTACTACTAATTACTAATACTTGTTCCGTTTGCGATTAAAGCTCAACATGAATACAGCCTATGCGCCCTATGTCGTGGGTCGACGGCGACAACGTTCGCTCTGGCAAATCCTCACTAGACAGCTGGATGAACCCGTAACAGAAATGATGGAACTCCCGAAACTCGGACCTCAACCCTGAGTGCTTAAACTCTTATAAGCCCTGAAGCCCTAAACCCTCAAACAGGTAGACGCTTATAAGCCCTAAACCCTAAACTGTGATAAAACGTGATAGACAAAGTCGAATCACATAGCCCGAAACCCAAAGCACACGCTTTCTGAGTATAGGGTTCTCAAGGGCTCTACTCCATCAGAGTAATTAAAGTTAGAATAGGATTCAATAGGGCTTTGCGTTAAACATGGTAGGGACTATAAAGGGGACAGACTGTTTCTAATGTGCTAATGATTCAAGCGCTTATGTTGGTTTAAGGCTTCGGGCCTTAGGCTATTGAAAACTGTCGCGCGGTGATCCTCGAGATGATGTACAAAAGCGAGCCCTTGAATGTTTTCCGCAAGGGTCCATGTATCTACATAGTATATATATATATATAAATACATACAGTTTGGCCTTCAAATGGTTCCGATGTAGTTAAGTACTCTGAGGCCTAAGTATATAGCACAGGTACATGGAGCCTTAGGGACTGCCCTCGATGGGTTGCTGATGACTGGTTTTGTACACAGGTTTGTGAAAGGCTTTCATCAAGAAGTTATAAAGTCTCGGACGAGGCTCTTCAGCAACCCCGTAATAGAGGAGCCTTCATAATTAGAATAATACTTTTGGGGTAGATTATACGATAATAAAGAAAAGTAAGGAACCCCCAAAATAGTATAGGTACTTATTTAAGCCCCCATAGTACCCCTGTTTTCCCATGCTTCGCACAAAACATGAGAGCCACGGGATCTGAAGTTGGTGATTACCATTTTTGTGTCGATTTCTTGTTGCGCAGAATGATGCAAGAGTGGGGTCTAATGTTCACCGTTAGGGATGAAATTGTATACTTGATTTCGATGCGGTTAGGAACACCCATCACGGAAAATACCGCGAATGACAACTTCAACACGGCGACGGTCAATCAGTGGCACGACCATATCAACACGGCCTCCTCTGCAACCGCAGTCGCAGGCCCCACCACCACAACTAGAGCCAGTAGATATCGCCGTCAGAATGCCTCTCAGACCTCTTATCTTCCCATCAGATTTACGACCACCATCACTGCCACACTGTCAGGACCGTCTTAGATAATTCAATCTCCCATCCCAACACCCCCTTTTAAGAACAGGGATTGTCAGACCATCCCCGTCCAAGCCTCCGTCCCCCAAGCCCCTGAAACACTGAACCCTACATCATTTTCAGCCCTACACCCTACGCCCTAAATCATAAACCCGGAGACACCTAGAAGCTTCAAGCTCAAAGTCGTATAGAACCTTCTGGCAACCTGTCCACGCCAAATAAGAGGCCCTTAATTCTCCAAACGGCCTCAAGCTCTATCTCCCAAAACCCAACATGAAGCACGGTTTAGGGTTTGCGGGCTCTTGAAAACCAACAACATGCCCTACAGTACGCCTAACATCCCCAAAATCCTAACTGCCGCTGGGAGCCCCGGCCCAGTCGTCCCCGTCGCCATCCTTGAGGATGGTCTTCTTGTAGGCACCTCAATGGCTTGGTAGGGCTTTACGGGTTTTGTGTGGGGCTGCGTAAGGCTGTAAGGGGATCTGCGAGCATGATGAACTCAGGTCCAAAAAAACACAGGAATGATGGCCTCTGGGGGCATAATTCCATAATGGTAGTGCATGGGGACCTCTTGGTACGTAATTTGACCTAGCCGTGCGATTTCGTGAACCCTTCGATGTCGAGTGCTGCTGGGCTGGGACTCGGGGTCGGGAAAACGCTACAATTTCGTGGTGTGTGGTGCTAAAATGTGCCATACGTAGATGGAGCCATACCGAAATACCACTATCGTTAAAGATCAAATGACCCGAAGCCCTGAACCACAGGCAGTCGTCGTGCGAAAGTCTGTCGAAGAAGCAAGCATCTACAAGATTTGGCCGATAGCCTCATGTAGGGCCTGAATGCTTAGAATTCGGGTTGTGGGGTCCAGTATAGAATCCATATTCAAGCACCATAAGCGGATGATGCTACCAAGTCTTCCGTCGCGGACCCATACATTTAAGCGTTGAGCCTACATCTCAACCCCTGAACGATATTCCGGTATGCAACACTAGCTTCCACTGTATCCTCTCAACAATGTGGGCATCCTCTGTTCTCACTACTCAGTTGTGACGGGGAGACCCCCACCCTGAACAGGGCATAAGGGGACCCAATACAGGGACCTTAGTAATAAGGTTTGGGGGATCTTAGACTAGATTCATATGAGGAGGATAAGGGAGTCTATTCGTAATTACAAAGACCTCACACTAGAACACTTCTGACCACGTTCTGCTGGGGTCCTCGCGCATGAGAGCGGGCTTGTTGTTGAGCCACGAGGGCCACATGCCGCCAGCAACCATCTGCAACAGGAGCTGGCAGAGTCTAGCGGGGTAGAGTCTAGGGCTAGGGTTGCATGTCCTTCGCAGACATGACTACGGCTGAAACTGAGCGCATGGGCTTGGGGTTCATCGTTCAGAATTCAGGGACTGCCACATTCTTCGGTGGTTTCGAGCCTCAATGAATAAAGGCTCTAGAAATAAAGGCAAACAACCCTGAACAGTGTCCCGCCAGCCCTACGTAGGAAAACCCCTCTGCCATTTGCTAAAATGTCCTAGATACAAGCGCGAGTGACAGACTATATGGCTGTCGCCTAGATCCACCTCCGAAATGCGGTAAGCCTTTAATGATTTTAATGGGCTTTGTGGGTATCGTACCAATATTTAAGAGATCCAATATTTCATATCAGTGCCAATTTTCCACGCGGAACTGGCTGCCCTTATGCCTCGACAACCAGCTTGTCGATCTCAGCCAAGCTGACCTCAAAAGCTCGCGGGCTCTTGGTTCGAAAGGCAGTTTAGGGTGAGTAGGAGCACTGCACCGGACCAGAGAATGGTGCCTCGGCAGAAATCATGCAAAAGTTTGGCATGTGAGCATTCGGGGCATGGGGCTGTGGGGTGGGTGAGGTCTTTGCTCCCACCCCTAAACCCCAGCAAACCGCCAACCACACACCCACAACGACTGAAGCATAAACCCTAAACCCGAAACCCAGGAAACACCTTAAACTCCTGAAGCGAAGAGACCCGCTCGTTCGCTCATAGGCAAGCTGCAATGTTGTTGCCGTTGAAGTCCAAGCGTTTCCACAGCTGTCGCAGCTTGTCCATGTTGTTGAAGCCATACCTGGGCCAAGTATATGCAGGAGCCATGTCATATTGGAAACGGGCCCTGCTGCACACTGCCTTCTTTGACGAAGCATCAAGTGCTGCACCTTTAGAGCGTAAACAACTCAGGCTCGGGGTTCAGACTGTAGCGCTTAGGAGCCTGTTAGAAGTCCTTAACATCAAGATCCCACTTCCGCCAAATCGTTATATTTATCAAACTTGAAAGAGGAGGCCTATGTAATTATGAGGGCTCGACACTCGGGCCTCAGGGCTGAGCCCCTTTAGGTATGGAGCCCAGCTGCTACGTTGAAATGCTCGCACGTCTTCTTGTTTAGAACCGCAGAGCATGCTTGTAATGGCCGCGATACTACTGCCACGTTCTTGGGCGAACCAATACTTGACGGCAGCGGTGGGTCAAATCCCATAATTACCCAGACAGCCTTGAATGAGGAATGCCCTCTGGAGTTTGCAAAGGGGCCATGTGTAATATAGGGGCCTTAAAAATTAGAATAGGGTGTTGGGCCCCACGATACTATATCTATGATAAGGAACCCCAAAATAGTATTGGTAGTCATTTGGGCCCCTACACTACATGACAAGTGAATCGTTTCATCAGAGGGGAAGCTGGGCTCTCGGCACTGAACCTTCTTCCTACTCAGCGCCAGCGCCGAAGGAGAGCCGAGGCTTTGCAAAATGCAAAGATTAAGGGCGCACAGAATTATGTTTAAGAATAAGTATCTCTATAGGAGCATCATAACTGACAAAGGGGTGTCCGAAGTTGGAGCTCCGAAGGCATGTAACAGGGCTTTGGAGACGGAGCCCGCAAGGTTCCGAAAGCTGCTCGTTGAGAAACCCAATGAGGCCCCGTCATGGGGAGTGGGTTGGCTTTGGGGTTCCTCGACATCTACCTACATCCTAAAGTCCTCAAACGGAGTTCCTGCTCTTGGTCCGCTGCAGTCTATACTTTCGCCACCCTTGTCTATGCTTATGCTTACGTAATAAGGGTAATACGCGGATTGGAATAACCTCAAAGGGTATCCTGCTGCAGTCCCGAATATAGTTGGTAGTACAATATTCCTTAAAGCCAGATTATCAATAATTATCAGGGCCTCTGTATAGTATAGAATTAACACTTATAACCGTTGTTGCAGAACCCTCGAAGGAACCCGAGCGTACGCATTAAGGCCCCGATAATGGTAAGACCAACCCTGCGTTGATACCATGGCTACACCCCCAACCCAAGCCCCTAAAGCTCTAAACCCCTCAAGCCCTAAGCCCCAGAACCCTAAACTCCGAAAGCCCTAGCCGTTACAACCCAGGTAGGAACAAACTTGTGTTGCCTCATTTTACTCTTGATAAAGATCCATGAAACTAAACCCCAAACCCTCAAATCCTAAAAGCACAAACCTAAACACCCCTAAAATCCGCGACAACAACCCCTAAAACCCTAAAACCCTTAACCCCAAACCCCAAAATCCCCTAAACCCCTAAAGCCTGAAACCTTGAGCCCTTCAGCCCCTGTGGCCCTGGCTGCTCCATCTCCGACTCTAGGCTGGTGCGGAGCTGGACGAAGGGGTCGTTCGAAGCGGGCATCTGCAAAGGAGGGGGGAGGGGTTTAGGCACAGTTTTAGGGTTTGGGGTTCTGGGTTTTAGAGGCTTAGGCTTTAGGGTTTTGGGTGAAGTCGGGGTTGAAGGGCAGGGAGTCTAGGGTGTGTGTATGAGGGATTCATCGTAAGTTTCGAATTGTGGGATAGCATCGGCAAAGGAAGCCATGGGGGAATCAGGGTTGAAGGGTACATGACGTATTGTTAAGTTGGTAAAGTCGGGACAGGCTCACAAGCTCTTCAGTGACTTTCCAGAGCTCTGATGGATCTAGATCGGGTTTAGCGCTGGGGCTGCAGGATTTTGGGCGGTTGCGCTGTTGTTGCTGAATCCTAGCTAAACCTTGTAATATAAGGGACTTAATTAGAATAGGGTTTTGGGCCCATTATACTACTATTATCATATTAAGGCACACCCAAAATAATATAGGTAATTTTTTTTGGGCCCCTACATTGGACTCTGAGCTCTGAGCCCATAAACCGTTGAGGAGATTCAGAACAACGATTTTTCTGAGTTTGTGACTGAGCTCTCTGTAGAATGAGACTGTAAACCCCGATGCGAAGTCCTCATGGGACCAGATCAAACCCCTTGAAAACCCTAAACCCTGAACCCTAAACCTTAAACCCTAAACCCTAAACCCAAACCCCCTACACCCTAAACCCCAAAGCCCTGAACCTCAAACCCTAAACCCCAAACCGAAAACGACTTCCAGAGCCGCGCCCGGCGCGTGAGACCGGGGGAGCTGAGCTGCAGACCGGAGAGCACAGCACCGAGGGGTCGGCGCGCCACTGGCCTCAAGGGAAACGTCTGCGTAGGGCTGATATAAAACCCTAAACCCTAAACCCTATTAAATTATATTTTAATAGTACTACAACAGTCAGAATAACAAAAAAAGGCAAGAGTAAGAATAATAAGTATACTGATAATAACTCTTAGAACTCATGATGCTAGTACAAGATGGTAATGGTAATAGTTGAAAGGTTTGTGGCTGTGGTATGAAGTTCTGTAGAGGTCCTGCGGCTTCACGCTTCGGCCTGGGGCTTTGGGCCAACCAGTGGCCTAAGCAACTCGCAAGGATCCTTGATAGCATCTTCTTACAGCGGGTTTCATGGAGATTTTGTAATTAGAAGTCTTCTATAGGGGCTGGGAACCTTAATAATTCGATTTGGGTGTTGGGGTCTAACAGCTAGATTCTACATATGTAGACCTCGCGATTATTCTGGCTGCACCAAACACCTCGGCAACAGAACCGCTCAACTCGGCACATTCATCATCATGTCTATTTCGGAACCATCACATGGTTAGAAATCCCCAACCCTTCTGCATGCATCTGGCTGTGAAGAACGAACCTCGAGATCATGCAACCCTTTCCGAAACTGCAAACAGTGACCCCGGGGAGCGCGGAGAGCACTGACCCTGAAACTTTAGCAGCTGCACAATCACGAAGACAAAGGCTAAAGGCTTCATGAGAATTAAAATAGGGCTCCCAGTGTCGTGGTCGCGCAAGGAGTGGAGACTCAGTCATTAGGGACTTACACATATAAAGTGGAGAAGTTAACCCTTTTCTAAGTCGGAAGCCGTCCGAGTCCACGCAACACCAGTGCGCACTGATCTTGGTGGGACTGTAGCCAGTGTCCTGAACAAGACTTCCAAGAACCATTCAACAGCACTATACCGCCAAAACCCTACAATCCTAGACACCCAGGCCGGGAAGACGTGCCTGAGTTCGGTGGCTTCGTTGTACGGACGTTTGAGACCGGAAACAGAACCTCATCTTTGCCCTACACTCCCACAAACGTGGGAACCTGAAACGGGGCTATAGTTTCAAGACGTGCAGGCTTCGGTGTGGGCGTGAATGGGGCCTCAATAATTCCAAGAGGGTTCTGGGGTATGCTACACAACAATTATGTAAGGGCCGTAAGAGAACACGATTGCTGCTGATTCAGACCCCTATATCCACTGGAGTTCCGTGAGATTTTGACCCTGAATGAAGCTCGCTCCACTAGATAAGTCCTACCATGACCTTGAACAACCTACCTTTTGAAAGACTCACATAGGGAAACCATACTAGCACTACTGTTGATGATAAAATCCTGCATTACCTTTAAGGACCCTATACTATGGGAATTATGGTATATTCCCTATTATGGGTACTGCAGGATTTAGATCATCAGCCGTAGTAGGTTCTTTAGGGGATCCTGTAAACACCAGAGCCTGGCGGAGGGGTGGTGGTGGGATCCTTCGTCGAAGCAGCCCGAAAGAAGGGAATCTCCCGTGGGAAAGCCCTGACAGAAACATAGAAAACCACAAAACAACTCTGATCAGACCTCCAGCAGCTCATAAAGAAACATAGAACCCGATAAAACACCTTTTGGCACCTTGGTTTATCTCCTTACCTCCCATGAGACATAAACCCTCACTTGACCATATAAAACCCCGATAGATGTCCTATAACATCACATGAAACGATAACCCCGAAACAGCCTTTAAACCTGTGTCGTAACATACCACAGCATCCCAACAAGTCTATAAATCCAGAAGCGAAGCAACGTCCTGCACATAGGCGTAGCACTTGGAGCCGTCATCTACACGCTTGCTTACCACCCAGCCTTGTTCGAAGGCTTGGGGTTTGGGCTTTGGCATGTGGGTTTAGGGTTCAGAGTTCGGGCTCTATAGGGTTGAACCAGGCATGCTACGATTCAGGGTTTACGACTCGGGCGTTTAGGAGGGCGAGTTCTGCGCAAGAGCCATGTTACGATATTTGTTTTCGTTTGTTTTCGGGTTCCCTAAGACTCCTAGCATGCACGGGGTACCTACTTCGGGGTCAAAGTCTATGAACAGATCCGCACAGAAGCCCCTGAGGCCAACCCGCAGGTGTGCAAGCAAAGGGCGGGTCTTGCCAGTGTGAAAGATGTAGAGCGGGACCACGTCGCGCTTCACCCAAACGGGCCTACCAGGAGGCGTTACACACTAAATCCGGATAGAGTGTTTCCCCCATAAACCCTTTAAACTACAGCCGGGGAACTGGGGTAGTGCATGTTACCAGTTCCCCGTCAGGCTAAGCCAAGCCCCAAGCAGCAAACATTCAGCATTGGGACCCTGAGCCTATGAACAAATCCTTATAGAACGAACGGAACAGTAAAGAACCCTACTCTATTCCTACTCTAATCTTTTAGGCACCCACATCCAAGAAATGAGTGGCTAAAGAAGCCAGAAGAAATCGTAAAACCAAAGGCAAAGTCCAGAAATATCTCTGAAAAACCAAGCAGCTCAGCGCATTAATATAGAACCAAAGGCAACAGCCACAAGGGCTGGATTCAGATGAGAGGCTGCTAGGGCTTGACGGGGGGGGGGGGTGCTTACGGCTTACAGCTCTTATGGGTTTGGGGGTTTAGGGTTTAAGCCTAAACCCTAAACGTCAAGACATCCAGACAGCAGAACCCAAGAGACGATGCGTAGCGGAATGTAGCTGTGGGCTATGTCAAGATCGGCTTCGCGATCCTAGTTTTCCCGGCTTGCGGTGTAAGGATGAGGACACAATGCATAAGGTCATACAGCCTGAGCCAAAAATCCTAAACCCTAAACCTAAACCTGAAAGTAAGCAACCCCAAGGCCTAAACCCCTAAAGCGCAAAAACCTTAAACCCTCTTCCCCATACTTCCTAAGCCCTATAATGCTTCTTCTCCCAAGCTGGCACGAAGTGCCTTTCGTGGTGCGTGTTGCTCATCTGGTCATAGGTCCCATTGATATGCCAGTAGCGGCCTTAGCATCGTGCTGTCCAGCTCGGGGTATCCCGACTTCAATGAAAGACCGTGGGACGCAGTAACGAGGCTTATGATTCGGTTAAACGATACTTATAACTACTTATAACTCCCCTAAACCCCTGAACCCTAAACCCTATATATGTCCTAAACCCCATGCCCTAAACCCCATACTTACTACGTTCCAGGATCCTCCGAGTGGGGACTCGAGGCCGTCGGCATGTCGCGGGAGGTCGCTTTGGGTTTAGGGCTTTTAGGCTTCAGATTCAAGGCTTGCTTTAAGGTTTGGGTTTAGGGTTTATAAGGTTTAGGGATGCGTTTGTAGGCCGAGCTTGCGGTTTAAGGTTCGGGTTTGGGGTTTAGGGTTAAGGGTTTGGCCTATAGGCTTTAAGGTTTGGGTCTGGGCGTCCGAAAGTTTTTGTTTCGTGTAGGGTTGCGGTTCTGGTATTTTCGACTCGAGTCGGAAATCCCCGAAGCCCCTATCCCGAGGTTTAGGGTTTAGGGGTTGAGTGCTAGGGAAACCATTCAACCTGGAACTCAAAACAAGAAATCCGTAATAGAGGGGCCTCAAGAATAGTCACTAAGCCCGAGAGCCCTAGTTTCAATTGAGAACCAACCCTGGTTCAACTAAATGCTAGAACCCGGAACTCTTTCAGCTCCAAGCCTCCCTGTGAGATGAAGCCTCCCTCATTACACCAAACCAGACAAAGGAAACAGGCCAATCGTTTTTCTCCGAGAAAAAGGTCATAATCAAAGCTAAGCGAGGAGCCACTCCGGCCCATGATCTTCAGAGATGTCGCCATCTTCAATCAACACCTGACCTGATGCATGAGGTTTTGCTAGTGCGACGCACCCAGAATACGCATTCACCGATGTTCCTAGTGAGACCTAGATACATCACCCACCAACATCCAGAAACTAAACCCCAAGTCACCTGATGCTACACCCTGCACCCTGGCTGCGGATGATTTTTGTCAGCGAGGACAAGACTCAGAAGCATCGAACACGTATGTACTGAACTGGACACCCTAAGCCCTAGGCCTTAAACCCAGAATATCCGAAGCTTGCCAAGAATCGGCTGTCGCGGGTCGCGACTTGCGATGCACTCATAAGCCCGTCAACCCTAAACCCGAAACGCAACACCCCAAAACCCTAAAACCCAAACCGCTAAAACCCAAACCCCCCAAAAAACCCAAACCCCTAAAACCCAAAACCCCCAGACCGAATCGTTCGGGTTCCGGGCTTCAGGCTATGTATGGTAGAACAGAAGCCAGACAGTCAGGGCTTTAGGGGTTTAGGGCTTGGGTTAGATCATCTTGGACCCTCATGCCCCTGAAGCGAAATAGACGGGATCCCGGCACCAATTAAGCAATCAACCGTAAGCCATGCTCCAACTGTTCGATGCGGAGCCCCCAACACCCAAGTCCAAATCCCAACCAGCGCAGCCGCACTAGCGGGAGGTTCGTTCTGGGGCAACCTAACACTCGAATCCTGGGCCCAAAATCTCAAGCAAGAATGAACTCAACGACCTTGACACCTAACCTAGACTTATCATGTTTAGGGTATATGTAATATACACTGTTCTATGTGTGCATATATTTATAACCCTAAACTTATAAACCCTAAATGCCTTAAATCCCAAAGCCCTCAGCCTCGACCCCTAGGAGGCGCTCTTTCCTCCAAGCCCTAATTCCCCCGGTGCCTCGGCTCGGAAGCAGGGCGCTAGCTTTGGCGCTGTCGCTGCGAAGCCGGCGAGACGGCAACGGAAGGCGCGGGATGGGAGAACTGGAGTTTAGGGTTGGGGGCGGCTGTAGGGCAAATCAAACAAATGGGTTTTCAAAATTATGGTCCCTTTTGGGGTCCTTATTATAATGCGGCACCTATTATTTAGGGTACCCCAAAAGGGATCCTAATTTTGACAACTACCCAAATGTTGTTGAGCTTCGGGTTTAGGCGTTTAGGGTCTATGAGGCTCCTAGGCTGCTGCCTTTAAGTGCTTGAGTAGGAGTTTTTTATGGTTCAGGGTTTTGGGGGGTTTGGGCTTTTCGGATCGGGTTTTCAGGCTTCTCGAGTTTTCAGTCTTTGAGTTTGCAAGCTTGCAATGGGGTTTAGGGTTTCGGGGTTTAGGGTTTAGGGTTTAGCGACTACAAGACGAGTGGTTCTACAAGGTATGGTTGTTCTGTCTAGGCTACTGTGTATAGACTGCCCGCAGTCCAGGCAATGCCGAAAATAAACCCAAAGCCCTAAACCCTCTAGTAAACACTCAACCCTGAACCGCAAGAGCAAACCTCCATGTAAAGGCTTTTCACAAGACAAATACGGCGGGACTTACTTTTGGGTTGTTGAGTGCTGCTTGGTACGACAGTCAGGCTTGCGACTCCCTCAGATGATCCCTATGATGGCTACCCCCCTTGGTGAAATCCTTAACCCTAAACCCTAAACTTAAACCCTGAACCTAAACCCTACACCCCTAAACCCTAAACCCTAAAGTAACCCCTACAGCCTTCAACACTCAACACTGGTGAAACCCTTCTGAAATTCTGAAACCCTTATAGTACCCTGGCAGAACCCCTTGTAGAGCACTTGCAGAACCCTTATGCCTACAGCACCCCTATGAAATGCTTCAAGACTATGACTTAGGACAGATGCCGAAACATCATGAACTCCCCCAGATACCCTTTACAAATACCAATTCTTATCCCCGCCCTTATTTTTTAGGATAGGGTTGTGAGGTACATCCATTTAGGCCAAAACATAACCGCATCCTCAGACAACATAGGGGCCTCAATTACTTAGGACTAGGGTTTCGGGCGTATGTTGTATTAAATTTCTAGAACAAGGAACCCTAGGAATAATACGTGCAATGATTTCGACCTAAACCCTAAACCCTAAACTTAAA